GAGACTGCCCTTAAACTTCAGTGCTTCTTCAAATTCTACCAAGACATTTCAAGAGATATTTCGTGACTTGACCTATTCCTATATAAGGGGATGCTGCCGAGAGAGGAAAAGAGAAAAGCAATGATGAAAGGAAGAGTGGTTTCTCAAACTCCTCTAACATGTACTTTTGTTTTTGTTCAGCACAGCCTGATCGCTGCTGTTCACCAGGTTGCCAAAACCTGCCATCCTGAGGAGAGCTAGACAGCTTTCAATGGTGTTTCAGCCCCCAGAAATTAATTTTATGATGAAAATTAGGGTGGAGAGGGCTCATAAAAAATGAACCAAGGGTCTGGGATTTTCCAGATAATGTAAGAGATTGCCATGCTCTAGGTGAATGAGTTACCATTCACCAGCTCCACCATGTAGATTGACCCTGTTGGATATCCTAACCACTCATAATTGCACAGTATAAGATGGTAGTTTTTTATTGAAATAGTAAAGGTTTGAAGTCTAACCCTACCCCAGGATTTCCCAAAGTCCTGCCTAATGCCACACCTTCCCATACAACCATTGCACAAGCCTTATTCAATTTGCTGGTATCCACATATTTCCTCTGAATTGCCCAAGATCAGCACTGCCTCCTGGAAATCCTCATCCATCCCTTCTGCTGTGCCACTTCTCCCCTGTGCAGGCACTTCTTGCTTTAAACATTAAAAAGAAAGAATCACCGTCAAAGACGTTGATTGCACATGCAAATATTGGCCCTGAGAAGTTTCTGGCACTGTCCTGACGGTGCCTGCAAACCAACCAGCAGCTCCCAGGCACTAAGACTCCAGTCTGACTGCCCAGCTGCACAGCCGATTGCTTTGAGTGCTTTGCTTTCTTCATGCAGCAAGGCAAAGTCTGATATCCCTAAGGCATCCTTGTTCCTGAAAAAGGACAGCAGCTGACAAGCAGAAGTCAAATTGCTTTCTGTGTCCCATCGGGGTGCCAACACCAGCAAGGCCTGTCTTGTTCAAATATAACATGACTGGAAGGGCACCTTCACATGCCATTTGCGGTGGGCTGAGGGAGGTCCTCTGGCATTTTGTAATTCATGACTTTAAATGTAGCCATTCATTTTCCAAACCTTTAAACAGCTCTAATTGTACCTTTATCATTATATACCTATAGGATGCTTTTTTTTTTTTTTTTGTCAGTATGCAGCTCCTAGGTACTTGCCTGAGGTAGCTTTCTATAAACAAATGTTATTATTATTCATTATTAATAAAACCTGAGCTCCTTGTTCCAAGATTGCAATTTACTCGGAGCTTCATCAGCTTCACACCAGCCTGAATGAGTTTGTTCTGCAAAGGAGGTTGAGACCTGAGAGATGGAGGAGGAGAGGACTGCTGCAGCTGAATGGATTGTATTCCATTCACTGCCAACAAAGCCATTGTACAGGCAATATTAATTAAGAGGACCTCTGGGAGTGCCACTTTTTAACCTCATATCCTGCCTGTGCAAAGCCAGATTTCGATAACGCTGTCAGGCAGAGTCTGCCTGCAGGTTCCTCTCTCGTACTCTAAGTGCCCTCAGATGAAGCACAGCTCAGCAATGACATAGCTGCAGAAATCCTCACCCTCCTTGCTAGGCAATATTTTAGCAACAAGAAAGATCCATTAGGCAGCACAGTGACACGTTCAGCTGAACAGCCTACAGAAAGCCAATTCATTTGCTGAATGAGGGGGGAGAGGTAAGCAATGCATTCTACACGAATCACATTGCAAGGGTATCAGATGCCTATAAGATGCATGAGCCTGCTTATGTTTGCCCAGCTTATTTTTCTCAGGACAAATTCAGAACACCATAATATGGAAGGCTAAATATCTCTAGCCACTTTCAGACATTCAGATTTGGGTTTTCAGAGCTGGAGATGACCATATCTGAGCTGCTGGTCTGTTCTGAGGCATCCTTTGCCCTGTTTGTTATCCCTAGGCTGTGGATACTGAGCACTGATCACTTACTGGTCCTGTGCTGAACAGAAACCGTGTCACTTCGAGCACCATCTTTGTAATAGGCCCAGATGGATATTTTATAGTCGGTATTCTTCTGCAAGCCTGGCAGGACAGCAGTCGCCACATTTCCAGCAACAGAGAGCTGCAGCAGGGGAAGAAATGAGTCAGTTGAGTTCACAGGCATCCCCAAGCTAGTTCATGCCATCCAACGTCCGTCTCGCAGATTGCCCGTAGGCAAAAATGGGTTAGTATTGGGCTTTGGGGACAAAGTCTGCCGTTGTGGGTTGCACATGTCTAAGCAAAGGCAAAATTCCAGCCCCAGCTAATGCAGAGTAGATGCCCGTCTGTTGCTGCCCAGTTATTTTCAGCAGCTACAATGTACCACAATGCAGTGCTCTGCCACAAGGCACTGAACCTGACTGGAGTACAAAATCCCTTTGCTCAGTTTCCAGCTTTTAGGTCTGCTGGGGACAGAAGCCCCGGTACATCCCTATTTCAGCCCAAATGTGAAGCACTACGTGAGAGAATCATGAATTTAAACCACCGTTAAAACCGCTATTTGCACTCATACTGAAAATAAGGGCTTGAGATGGAGGAGGTCATCTGGTCCACCCCTGCCTCTCCTGCACCAGCTCTGTCTCTGGTTGTTCTCCTCTGTGTGCTTCTCAGTGGGATCTCAACCTTCTTGAAGAGCAGGATCCCAAAAGCAGTCGGTGCCTACCAGCACCGAGGAAAGCAGAAGTTGCTTAACCTGCCTTAGAGGTGACACTTCTAGATGTAAATACTTAACTATTATCTTTGCCTTTTCCACAATAACTTGACATTGTGGGCTGGTGATTCTCTGCAAACCCAGATCTTTTTCTACCGAATTTCTTCTTAGCTGTTTGTTCCACATCCTGTATACCTGTAGTTAATTATTCCTGCCTAAGCTTAATACTTTCTGCTTGTCCCTATTGAATTTCATCCTTGAGTTTTTCCAGAACACTTCTGCAGTATTCCCAGAGTCTGTAGGACTCCAACCCTGCTATCCCTCTCTCTTCCATCACTCAATGTGACCACTCCACTGAACAGAGCCTGACCCAGGACAGACCCTGTCTTATTCCATAGCCTCCTTCACTGGGTGATGAACTGTTTTAATTTGACTGCATTAACCTGCACCGTTTTGCACCTCCCTATGCCACTCTTACAGGTGAGTTCAGAGCCATCAAGCAGGCACAAATTCAACCCAGCATCCCCGGAGCTGTGCGTGGGTCCCTACCTCCTGAGGCTTCTCTCCACTGACTGTGCTCCATTTGATCTGATAGACAACCACATCGGAGGCAGCGACAGCTTCCCACTGCAGTCGGAGGCTGTTCCCGGAGAGCTCGGTAACCTTCAGTGCACGCGGTGGGGGTACCTTTACTGAGGGATGGAGAAGGAAAACGAGCTGAAGCGCAAGCACTGACAGCGCCTTGTCAGAGTCAAGGTGGGAAGCAGATGGTCGGGGAGCAAAACATCAACCAGGCAGATGTCTGAGACCAGCCTGTCTTTCACTGCTTCAGACCCGTATAACAACAGCCATCAGGACAGACGGGTAAATTATTTTTAAAACCCTAATTAAGAAGAATTATCTTTATTGTGGAGAGGACACGTATCATACCGGTATTGTAAAAGGGAGAAGGCTAGGAGGGCTCTCAAGGACGCAGAGGTTAGTGATCATGCTTTTTCTTCCTTCACTTCTTTATTCCTTCCAACTTCTTTTAAACATAACACATTTGGACATATTCCACATCCAAAGAACAACAGCCATCTGGGTTTTGCACAAGGGTTTTGGCCATGAGCTTCTGGGACCCGCCTTCAAAATATCCCAGCTGAGACACATACAAGCCAGTTTTTTCACTTGTTACTGGGAACAAAAGCATTTCTACTCCCTGCTTACAAGTGGTAACGTTGCCAGTAATTGGAAAGGAGTCCCCTTCATCATACGTAGATCGGACACTGATGAAGTATTGGGTGAGGGAGGACAAAGGTCTCAGGACAGTGGATGTTGCAGTGCCAGGAGCCTCCACCTGCAGTGGAGGAGTTGTATGAGTATTAGGAGAGGAGCATGGGGACGTTAGGGGAGGGGCTAGCTCATGGGTGGCAATGGCACCTGAAGTGCCCATAAGCCCCCCTTGAGCCATGCAGCTGAAGGAGAACAGGGCAGTACATGACCCCCCAAGCTTCTTTTTCTTTCACCAACCCCTTGAGGACTCACCTCCCCAGCATTGCTCCCTTTGCTAGAAACATAGGCAACGTGGTGAGCTTTCACGGCCGGAGACGCAGCCTCCCAGCTGACTCGAACAGACGCATGGCTGAGCTCAGAGAAGCTCAGGTATCTGGGAGGACTCAAGGCCACTGCAACAACAGTTAGTGACAGCACTCCGAGGTTTCACAGGCTGCGCAACAGCAATGCCACTGGTTGCCTTCTGCTGCTCTTAGGTGACCCCACCTTGAACTAAGGGACTTATTCACCATGTGGGAAAACATTCTCTTTATGCCACTACCATACATGTCTCTGGGATGTCATGAAAGGCTGCCTGGGCTTTAGGTGAGTAAACAGCCAAATAATTCCCAGTTTTGTCCCCAAACAACAAAGGCCTCTGTGAAGAGCTCCTTTAGGAGTTCTCTTATCAGGGGAAAAATCATTCCTTTTTCATAGCTCACCAAGTAATTAGAGATCCCCTCAGGGGCCAATATTCACTGAAGATGAGGCAGGGAAGAGGCTGTGTGTTTACCAGCCACTTGCACAATATGGGAAGAACCTCATTAAAAACCTCTCTCCTGCCTTAAGTGTTTAATAACAACTCAGTAAGCCGTCGCAGCAGCACTTACGGGTGGTTTCCTGGATGCTGGCTGGATCACTCGCTTCTTCCCCATACATTGCGTACACTGCAACGGAGTACTCTGTGCTGGGTGACAGCCCATCCAGCAGGACCTCAGGATGGGCCACCTTCACCTGTCAACAGAGAGATGTTCTGGGGTACCTTTCAGTTCTGGGATACCCACCAATGCCCTCAACAGAGCAAGACCTTACAGAGACACAGGCCAAGGTCCCTTTGGTTACACTAAGGAGACTTCTCCGCTTTGGGGCTTCACCACTTGTGTAGGTGCTCTACAATGGTCAGTGTTCTGCCTCTCTTCCCAAGGGACACCAAGCACGTTGGAGGTGAGCATCACCTTCTCCTATCCTTGTCTGCAGACACACAGGTCTCTTATACAAAAACGATGCTGCTGCTGTTGTTCTGGGTTGGATCAGAAAGTTGGGTTGCATGTGAAAGATGTTCCACTTTGCTCAGACATGTGGAAAGCTCTTGCAGAAGAGCTGCTTGCTGCACGCAGGCCCATAGCAGCCGGGTTGCTGCCACCTGCCGCTAACAGCACGGCCACGGCTCTCCTCCGAGTCTGCTCGCTGCAGAAAAGCGCTCCGGAGATGTACAGGGGTCCACAAGCAATGCAGCACAGATTTATAAAGGGCTGGGAACATTTAAACACTGGTTTTGCAGACATCCCATAGCCTTAGAGCATTGCACTCTTACAGTGAGTAGGTCAGGTAACTGCAGAAATGTTCTAATAAGCTAAAATACAATTTTAAATGTTGTTCTCTTCAGTTGTTCTGAATCTTAAAAACAACCACAATTATGCACTGAAAGCAGAGTATAAGCATGAATTGCTCTGTTTTGAAAACCATCCTGCAGTTGCTCATGTTGCTGTGCATCGGGGGAGAATCTGAGTCAGAGGCAATACATGTTCCCCCCACTCTTCTTGTTTTCTTTGATTCATATTCTCAGCCTACAGGTACTCCAGGTAACTCACTAAAATGCACACATCGCAAAGGGATCTTAGATGTCTTTAAGGATTTTCCATTCATTGAGCGTTGTTTCATTTTTATGCAGCATTGTAGGTCTGTGTTTAGAGCTCGGTGAATACCACCCAAAACAAATTTTCAATCAACATTTTAACATAAACACAGTAAAGACATTTACGTACAGCCTCAAGGAGACAGCAATTATAGAATCATAGAATGGTAAGAGTTGGAAGGGACCTTAAAGATCATCTGGTTCTGCAGAAATGTGAGCTGTGTCTGGGTTTCCAGGGCCCCATGAGACAATCAGTTCTCTCCCTATGCCTTAGTTTCCCACATGAAACCCTCACAGTTATAAACCACTTTGAGACACACCATTTAAAAAAAAAATCTTCCATGAAATATGTTGCTGGCAATAATGCTGACTTTTTTTGTTTGTTTGTTTTAACACATGATAGCAATTCACAAAGGTTAGAGCTGGAACTAAACTCAGCCCAGACAGAGAAAAAATTTTATTATCATTATTCTCATGAACTCTACCTCCATCGTATAATCCTCTGCACCATCGGGGGCCGCAGAGCAGAGCACCAGGTACTGTGTGGCTCCCTGGGCTGCCTTCCAACTCAGCCTGATACTGTTGTGGCTCAGCTCAGAGACGCGCAGGGAGCGAGGGGACAACAAAGGCACTGAAGGGAAAAACGAGGCAGAAAGATATCTTCAGTGTATGAGGTCTGCAACAGCTCAAATGCCAGCAGAGACCTGGCTTTGCAACAGCTACTGCAAGCTGGTGGACATCTACCCCACATCTAACACAGCGGAGCACCCACTTTACAGAGAATAAGTTTAATTCACTTGGAGGCCAGGGATAAAAAAGGGACAAGGAGTTGCAAGACATTTCTAGCCTGGTGTGCTACTACCACGTCAGTGGTCTCCTTTGCAGAGTGACGTAGGTGGAAAGGGACCCCTGAAGGCCTCTGGTCCAATCTGCTGCTCAAAGAGCAGATTGCTCAGTGTCTTGTCTGGTCAAATACTGAAGATCTCCTCAGATGGAGATAGCTGTAGACAGATTGAGCTTGAGGAAGGGGGAAAAATAAAACATGAGGCTCCAGACTGAGATGGTCACAAAGACAGAGCTTTTTTCACCTGTCATAACCACGCATCAGCATAATTCTCTCTACTCATGACTTACATGTGGAGGCGACACCTCTCAGCCCATCCCCAACAACTGTGTCATAAATAGGAAACACCGACACCAGATACTCCGTGTGGGAGGTCAGATTGGAAAGCTGCAAAGAGGAGACTGCACCATCTAAAACCACCTGAAAGTACAAAGGAGGGCTGTCAAGACAGGGAGGTGCTAGCAGCTCTTTAGCAAAGGAATGGCTGAACCGGCCTTCCCTAGGAAGCGTGGCTTCTTTGTGGCAGATCTGTGCCCAGAAACATGAAGTCCAGTTGCCCTCTGAATTTTCTGCTAGCTAGCATCTCCCCAGCATAGAGAGGTAAAAGGCAATGAGCATCCCTGTCCTCTAAGGCTGGGATCTGTGCAAACACCAAGCACAAGACTCTAACTGTTCTCTCACTGATATCAGTGGAAATACATCAACAATGTGGATTTGCTTTTCTAAGTCCTATCCGTCACAAACAAGCATTCTTGGGCAGCTCTGTGTACCTGAGTGTGCTCTTTGAGTCAAAAGAGATGTTTTAGGGAGGTCATAACACTGCGTGAGAGAAAAATTGGCATCAGCATGGCTTGCAGAACTTCTAGCAAGATTTTATTTATCCCATTTCCTCTTCTGTCTGCTTGTCCTGTCAGCTGATCACATTTACACTCATTGTGGATTTAACTTCATCTCTGGCTTTAGCTGATGTCCCACAAGAACTGTACCTCTACCCTCACCTTTTTGTCTACTCAAGTCTACTCAAATTCTCAGCCACCATCTAGAAGATACTGCAGTCTCAGATATCCAGAGAAGGTCTCTCACCTCTTTGGGGTTACCACCCTTAGATGGATAATACACAATCCGATATTTCTTTGGTGGTCTCAGAGGAGGACTCCAGGTCAAGTGCATGCTCTTAGAGGTCACAGAGGATATTTTAAGGTCAGTTGGGCTCAGTTGGGGACCCGTGTTCACAGGGATATCTTCCACAGTGCTGCCTAGGAATTAAAAATACAGTTACCTTCTTGTGTTCAGACTTCTCATGCCAAATGTACTTCCCAGCTCATAAATATGAGTGACATTTTTCAAATCAAGTTACAGTCTCCTTCCCTATAAAGTACATGAACTGTTCCAAACTGCTTTGAAATAAATACAAGAACAATTTCTATGAAACATTTGAAACTATTTTAAAACTGGGCATACAGAGAACATAAATACTCCATAGAGAACTGGCTGTGTTTTTTACTGGGTGCTGGGAATATTTTTTCAAACACAAGGCTACATTTCTGCGTGTATCCAAAAGATGACCCAGCTTTCCTCAATCATGAAAATTTGTCAAAATGAATAAGCAGAAGTTATTTAGGTTTCTTTTTCAGCAGCTCATCTTTAGCCTAATCTGCACTTTTAAAAATGTGTAATCTTACTAAAAAAGTACAAATTAATAACAATTAATCAGTGTATTTCTATGAATCTCCAGAGCATTAAAATAAAAGCATGCTTGAAAGTTAGACCTTCCCATTCTCCTTTGGCGAATCTTAGAGCAGAGAGAACTGGAAATATGTACATGATACCTCTCCTGAGGATCTATGCTAATACCTGGAGTGGTTCTTCACTCTCTCATTCATCACACAAGCTGCTCTCCAGCAAAGGAAAGAAATAAGCTGTTTGGTTTTAACTTGAAAAAGCCTTGGAGATCCATCATTTAAAATAAAGTGTGGAGAAAAAAAAGTGTTTAGACGTTTTATCATCTCCTCTTCCTACCTTCACATTTCCTCCATAGGCTCTCCCTAATATTTATTCTCTAATTAACTCTTTTGCTTTTTCTACCTCCTCTTATTTGGAAGAAACTCAGAAAAAGAGATGGTTACAACACATTTATCACACTGTATGACAGTGGAAGAGGGAAGTCCCTTCTTCCCTACAATGGTAGTTATTGTCATTAGGTGATTATATCCACCAAGAGTTATCCAAACTTCTGGTAGGAATTGCTGTTGCCTGTGTTGGCTCACCAGCCAAAAGCAGATAACTAAACCAAGAGCATCAGAATGCATCTACAGTTAATGTCTCTCTGTGACTTGTTAGAGACAGCACGGAGTCTGCGGTAGAGTGAGAGTGGAAGAACTGCATCCAGAGGGTCTCGTAGAAGACAACGATCACAGGACAAATTGGCCAACACATTGAAGTGGCAAGGACCATTGTCAGGCAGCAAGAGGGTTGAGCAAGATCAGCACTGGAGGAGAAGAGTTAGGTGATGCTGACAGGGTGGTGGAGCTCATGGAGGGAAAGATATCAGAAAGGGACAATCCCGATGGCAAGAAAGGTGGATGGTGAGCAGAAAGCAGCTCAGCCTTCACTGAGGAGGTTTCACTTCACCTGCATTTTCCTTGTTGCTCTTCTCTTTGATCCTGGTGCACAGGACCCGGGTGAGCCTGCCAACCAGAGAGCTCAGCAGTGGGAAATCCAGCACGTTGTACACAGTGAGGTCCAGCGGCTCCGAGGCCACCTGCTTCAGCTCTGCCTCATCTGCATTCTTCACCCCTGCAATCAGAGCAGAGAACGAGACTGAGAAAACTCTCCAGAGAGAAACAGCTTCTGTCTCCTGCTTCTGAGTTTTTTGTCCAGAGGCAGAATGGATCCACCATCATCCTGCACTCCAAGCAGAGCCTCCCAGTCATTCCAGTGGGGTGGTCATATCTGAGAATGGCCTCGGGCTTTCCTGCAGCAACAGCCCCAGTCCAGCCTGGGAAGGGTTTTCAACTCTGTGGGCTCAGAAGGTCTTTTGTGGCCTGGAGACAGTCTAGTGAATCCTTCTTCTGTTTTCCTGCCTCCTCATCACTTTCAGGCTTTGCTACCAGGAAGGCAGACTTTTTTCACCCTGAGAAGCATTTGGCATAAATGGGGGAATGAGTGAATGAATAAACAACAATTTTATATTTATGAGGTGCCAGCAATCCCCACAGAGAGTCTGTTGTTCATCAGAACATCACATTGCATTTCAAGAGTGTCAGGGATAAGCAGAAAGCAGACCATTTATTAAGCATAACTTCACCATCACAGAGCATCCTCCATCCCTATCCTTCTGCTCCACATCCTCATTAACCCTCTGCAGACCAAGCCCCACAGCATGCAACTTAATTTGCCTCCCAGTGCTAGGCTCAAGGTCACCCTAGCATTGCCCAAGCAGTACCATTGCCAGACAGGGATACCACCTGGTTTCTCATGTCCAAGACCACTACCTTCACAGCTGTGCTAGCCTCCTTCCCCCTTGCTCTTGTAGTGACAGCCAAGGCGCTGTTGAGATGAATACTCAGGTCCTGATGTTTAAGGACCAAACAACGTGACCTTCCACTAACCAGAGATGAAAGGCAAAGACCCCAGCCAGGAACAGACCTCCAAGTGATTTCAGGTACACAGATGTCAGGCTGTTGGGCTGCACAGCACACAGCTGAGGCTTAACTGCTCATGAAAGAAAGCACAGTCCTATCCACTTAGCTACATAACCCTATGCAATAAACCCTTGCTTGTGTCTTCCCAATGTAAACTAGCACTTTAAGTTTTGGAGACTGCAATTTTAGGTGTTTTCTATGTAACTTTATTGCCCATATATTGGTCTAGCAGACTTGTTTAGTCATCAAGGATAGAGCTGCTCAAGGCCATTTTATGTTTAGTTATTACTGCCGGATAGCAAAGAGCAGAAAGTGTTCTTATTCAGAGAAATGGAAAGTCGTGAGAGGCAGTAATTATAAAGGAGGTCTCCTGCCTTCCCCAATACAGCGTTCTCTCACCTAATTCCACAGCTGAGAATATAGTTCTCATGGCACAGGTCTCTGAGGTTCGCAAAGGTCTTTATGCATGGGAAGTGTGAAATGTCTTGTGTGAATGAGTGGGTTTTCTAAACTAACAAAATCCCCGTTGAAGACACCGCCTGTGCTGAATAAAGGAGTTAATTTTCATCTTAGCCACAATGTAATGAGGTCTTACCCATTACCTTAGTTTTAAAGTGTCAGGATGCTCCTCTCAAATTTGAGGGAACATAACGTTCAATTCGAAGAAGATCAAAAGTAGGTTGGCTTTGTCCTACAGCTTATCAATGACTGTGATCTTACCAATGGCAAAGATCTCGATGCCCAGGTTTTTCAGTGTCTGAGCAGCCAGGTTGGCATCATCCTGGGATTTTCCATCAGTCAGAAGGATTACCAACTTCTCAGCCTCCAGCCGGGCACCAGCGTCTGGTTTCAAATTCTGTTCCAGGACGTGGGTCAGCGCAAGACCTGGGGAGGAGCAGAGACAGATGGTGTGGTACAGCCTTGCAGACAAACCCCCCATCTTTACCCTTTTCTCTGCCCCCAGTGGCTTTGGTTCCCATGGAGGTCATCCCATGGAGGTCATCCCATGGGAACAGCTTCCTCCACTGCAGCTGCACAGATCATTTAGCAGAGACATGCGAGGTGGAGTTTGGAGTTACCTGTAAAGGTGTTGCCGCCCTTGTACCGCACATTTCTGACGGCTTCCAGCACCTGGTCCCTCGTAGAGTAAGTGCTCAGATCCCACTCCGTGCGGGGATCGCTGCTGTACTGGGACAGCCCTGGGGAAGGCAAGAGCTATCGGCGTCCTACAAGCCAAGGTAGGCTGCAAGAGGAGACCCGCTTTGGGGAGGCGGTGTCAGGGTTTCCACGGGAGGATGACACAAAATAATGGAAGGGAGTGGAGGTGAGCAGATTTGGTTTCCAGCTCCCCTCCTCTGCGTGGTCCTTGTCATGCAGGCAGCAAGGTGATGCCTCAGACCCCACCAGGTACAGTGGTTCTTATCCCTATGGTGACACTCTGCAGCATCTGAGAAGGTCTTAATGTTAATCAGGGTCAGGCTAGTTGGCTGCAAGGACTGGGAAGGCTTTACGCCGTCCTATTTCATGTACAGCCCGGCCAATGGCAGTAACACTCAGAACTGGAAGCAGCACTGTTCTTAGCTGAACTCAAGGCAGCTCCAGTGCGGCATTGCCTCCACATCTGTCTGTGCAGTGCTGTGGAGGCCGAGCACCTTGCTGGAGGCAGGCAGCAACTCCCAAAAGCGTCTCAGCATCAATGCCCAACCTTGTGCTGCCCAGAAGACATCGCTTCTGTTCACTGTGCAGCTATTGCTCACAGCCACTAGAGGCCAGAGCTTGCTGCCAGATGGGAAAAGCTGTCAAGAGCAGCAAGCAGGACCCCACCCTAAAATAAAAGCTCCTCAGAGGAGCACATAGCCACAGGAGCTGACACCAAGGCTCCTTCAAACACGGGCTTCCCAAGGTCAGGAAACAGGAAAGTGTCCTACCTACTCTTATCTTGTCTTGGGCAATACTAAATGGGGAAATCAAATTGCTCAGAAACTCCTTAATGAGCTTGAAGTTGTTGCGTCCGATGCTCCAAGATCCATCCACAAGCAGGACGATATCAGTCATTGCAGCTGTGTCACACTGAAACTGGGAACCTAGAGGGTATAAGGTTTGGTATTCAGAGAAGCAATTGTAAAGAAGGGAAAACTATGTCAGTTTTAAGATAAAAAGAAAATCTGCAGTGTAAGGGCTTGTCTGGATGGTGGATTGGACCACCTGCCAGCCCGATGCATCCCAGCATCTTGGGAAAACCATGTGGCTAGGGTAACGCATCTCAGTACCAAGAAATTGCGCAGTCCGCAGCCGCATTTCTGCCAAGAATGGGTTAAAGCCGCCAGGAAGTGTGTGCCTAACCCAAGCACTGCTCTCTGCAAGCTGTCAGCTTCATTACATCTCAGCCCCAGCCCAGCGCTTCCCTTTTATCTAGCCTCAGTCTCCAAGAATTGCAGGCGGTCGCTTAATTCCATTCCATCACGGGATCCCCTGTGGGCTATAATTATTTCATGGCTCTATATTAAATCCAATCTCTCCGTTAAAACCTGCTGGCATCACAGATACTCGAGCCCTGCCTTTCTCCCCACCCCAGGCCTGCAGCTTAACAGAGGATAAGATAGGGCATGTTGCTGATCGAATGCACCTTCTCCGAATATTTTTCAGGTGGGGGATTTTCCATCTTTGGTGGAGGGAAGTAGATGATCCCATCAAGATTCAGTGGGCTGCAAAGAGGTTACTCTCCTATCTCTTTTCACAGCCATGGATTCCTACTGGTCTCAGGGGACCAAATGAGGATGCTGTGGCCAATCCCATTCCCACCACTTCAACAGTGCCGTGAGCCATCTGCCCTGCCATAGTCTCAACTGACGAATCTGAAGGATCATCAGGGATCAGTTGTCCAAGAAACATGAAGAACAAGCCCAGGAGGTGGAGCAGGTTGGATAACAAACACTACTGATGCTGTCCTCCCCTTCTGAAGGCTTGGGAAGGTCCATGGCTAGGGACTCTGTTGAACAATACAAACTCTTACATGGATCTTTCAGAAGTAGGGGGAGTTGACAGCATGAATAGAGAGAGTAGTGGCAGATCAATAAATTAAACCATCTGGAAGGAATTTTTGGCCTAGCTCTAGTTTGCCTTAAAGTCTGTGATGTCCTGCAGGACTCCAAACTTCTGCAGTGATTCCTGACAGTTCCCCAAAGCATGAGCTAGCAATTAAAAGCTGGATCAGCAGCATTTGTACTCTGGAAAGTCTTGGTGACAGAGAGTGGGGTGGAAGGCTTGTATTCAACGAGCTTTAGGGAAAACAGTGGGGAGAAGGAGCAAGACACATTTGAAACCCCTCTCACCTCGCCTCAGTGACTCCTTTGTGGGTTTTTCTTTCACTTTCCCTAGATACTCTCGCTCTGAGTTTGCAGGAGTGCTTTGGGATGATCTGGTGGTTGTTGGGGTTGCTTCTGTCACACTGGGCTGATTTCTTGTGGTGTCTCCCGAGCCCTTTGACTGAGTCCCCTTCTGCCTTTTCCTTTCAGCTCTGTCCTTTGCTGTGCTCCAAAGAGAAAAAAAAAATTGTCCCTAGCTGTGTTACCCCCACGCAATCCGCTGCAGTTGTCAGCCGGTTTCAGCCACATTTGGCAGAGGTGTAGGGGGCCCAGAGAGGATAAAAGTCCTACAACCTTTTGTAAATAGGTAGTTTTATAGAGAAGATCATCTTCGTTCATGCCCCTCTGCAAGGGCTGCAGGTAGGGTCCTGAGTTATTATTAACGTCTGTAATGGATCACACCAAATGTTTGTCCTTCCCATTAGTTTTGACGATGAAAAATAATGAATGTTTACAAAACACAAACCAGGGAATACAGACTATGGCACCTGATACCCAGTGTACTCTCCAGACCTCAGCAATCTCCGACTCGGAAACATCCCGTGTTAGTGCCAGTATTTTTGTATAATGGCCCTGATGGATCTCTCTTCCATCGACACGTATAAATGCTTTTTTGAATCCATGCAAACCTTGCAGTAAGACACATGAGAATCTATGTGGTTATATGCAGTCCTCAGCCACAGGGGAGAGCTCACACCTGCTTGTAGACCGTCTGCAGCCTAGGAGATCAGGCATCATTAGCCCCAGTGGTTTGGGAGCAGCTTTTCTCAAAGGATTTGCTCTCACTTGAAGGGTTTGACTGTATCTGCTTAACTTGAACACCTGTGAGCCCCAGGAACACTTGGACGTGCTTTGCTAGGCTGGACAGTTTGGCTGGCATGAGGGGCAAGTATTTTTGGGTTGCTTGCTGTGTCCTTGTAGTTCAGAGATGCACACAAGTGATGAGACTGGGGTAGCACATCTCCCTGAAAGAATTTCCCTGATGAAGAAGAAGCTGCAGGGAGAGGGTGGGAATGGGTTTAGGGACAGCTGTGCACCCACCTGGCTGTGTCAAGACGGTGTTCAGGGTTGGTGGGGTGGCCTCTGCCACCCCACTGTGCTCAGCTGCCGAGCTCCCTGAAGAGGTGAGATTCTTTCCTGATGCAGCACCTGAGTTTCTCCGGTTATTTCCAGTCCATCCTTCACCTCCTGGGTCTTCACCATCCCTCCTCCTAACCTTCCAACCAAAATAGTAGCAGACTCTGCGACTGTGGCATAGTCTACAGGGCAGATTCTGGAGGACGAGCTCCTAGGAGCCACATCTCCAAGAGCCTCAGGAGCATTCTGAATGGTAAAATGTAGCATTCTACTTACTCACAAATTTCCTCTTGGCAAACAGGGCTTCCTGGGAGCCGTTAAGCACGTAGACCTGCAGCGTGTATTCCTTGGTAGGGCTCAGCCCCCCCACTGTGGCTTTGGGAGTCTTGGTTTTCAGCATGACTTCTTGCTCCGAGTCCCCTGAGGTGGGATGAAGACACAGTTCAGAGCCTGTTAGAGCTTAAAGTTAAGCTGACAGTAGCAAAATCACCACTGAAATGCAGGGAATGTCTGCCTAGGGACCTCAGTCAACTCCCATTTCTTTTTTCATTTAGTGCATTTCTGATTTTTACCCTTTTTCCCAATTCAGAGTAGAGAATGTTTGGGGTTTTTTTTTAAATCCCTGATACATACCCAAAATGGAAAACCAGTTTCCATCCAGCAGTAGTGCAACTCTCACCAACTTCTGAAGGAGTTGCTGAGTGAAAAGCTTGTCTGCAGAAGGCAAAGACTGGGCAATTGCTAGTAAATCCTGCTTACGAAAACATCCAACGAATTTATGTGCTGGAGGTCATACGTGACAAAGTGGCTTGCTGTTTTTGAAGGTCATCACTGACACTTGGGATTCATCTTCCTCACCCCAGCCACTCTCGGTGTGCTGTCTCTGCAAGCCCAATGTCTCTCCAACGACATCGCAAAACAAACGGGGAGAGGCAAACTAGCTGCCTAAAAACTTCTAATTAACGAAGGTCTACCAGATTTAAATTATGGAGATGGATGCATTTCTGACCCCGACATCCCTGTGCTCCTGCCTAGGGCTAGAAACAGAGCTCCCCAGCCCACGAAGAGGGAAAGCCTCAGGCATGTGCCGGGAGCTCGATGGGGATTCCCTGCATTCCCGGGATGCTGGGGATGATCCTCGCTCTCAGATGTACTGAAGCCTGGGGAGGAGCAGGGCAGGGAAGGAATGAGAAACCTCTTGATCCAGCTTGGGAAACAGGTGGGGGCTGAGCTAAAAGCGGGTGGATGATCACAAGAGCTCTGCTGCACGCACTCTGGCCTGGCAGCTCCCTTGGAGAGCAGCAGTGACTGAAAACCAAACACCAGCTAAGACTAAGGTTGCCTCCAAACGTTGCTCCCTGCCAAGGGACTTTTTGTCCTTCCATCATGAACCAGGTTCAGCATCCGAAGTTGGGGAGAGCTGGAGCTTGGCAGGGACAGGGAGCCAGGGGGCTGAGCCCCTCCACACACAGGATCAAGGACTTCCCGTCTTGTGTCCCTGCAGGTGGGGAGAGAGCTGGGAGCTCCTACAGAAGAACCAGACCATGAATCTTTCTTCATCTTTTTTCTCACACAGTCCCAAAGATCAACACTTTCTGGCTAAGGCTTTCCCCTAGGATGAAGAGGGATGAATTTCATCTCCCACTTGTGACTGATAGAGGGACTGTGCCTGCCCTGACATGGCACTACGGACTGCTCTCATGGTGGCCAGAAGGGCTCCTGTCCATACGGTTTGTACAGACTGGTAGAAAGTTTTGATCTAGATAATCAACGCTTAAAACCAGAACAACCAGTGGATCATTCCCTCTGCCTTACCGCTATCCCCTAAAGGTTTAAATAACACTCTTATTTAAGTCCACCACAAATCTCTGCTGCGTCTGACATTCAAGGCGTTAGCACATACCTGCCATGGGCTTTACCCGAACTTTGTAGCCGTTGATGTTCCCCTCGGTCTCTTTCCATTTCATTTGGAGCCTGTCTTCTGCAAGGACAGTGAGTTTCAGCCGGCCTGACCCTGGGGAGGAGGAGACGTGTCCGTGCTGTTATGGATGGAATTGCTCCCTCTGTATATGCACCCATGAAACACCACGTATGCCGTCTCCTCTATGGACACGGGGACAGTTGCAGTGCAGAGGAAACCTTCACCATCCCATGCAAGTCCTCCACACCCCCTGACGCCGCACGGCAACTCCCGCACCGCCGCCAGGAAACCTGACACGAGTCACTGGGAATCTGCAGCCTCCACCCTACGCAGAGCAGAGTTCCTCAGGTGCTCAAGTGAGACCCCAGTAAACACTGCTGCAAACAGGGAAAATGGTCTGCCATAGAGCTGAGGGCTTTCTCTGCACCCCTCACATCTTGGAGGGCTCTCACAGGAGCTTTCGTGCAGGATGTTCTGCTTCATCCAGTGTGTTTAGTGCAAACATCTGAAATGGGAGGGCAGGAAACAGATAAAAGGGCTCAGCAAGGCTCCTCAATAGGCTTGGGCTACTGAGACATACAGAAACTCCCAGGTGATGGACCCCATACTTCTGCAGAAAGATCATTTCAGAGGCAGCTCCAAGGACTAGCTGGGATAGAAAAAAAAAAGAAAAAAAAAAAAAGAAATAAAACCTGATAAAGTGTAAATAACTGTTGCTGGCAGAACCATAACTCATGGGCACCAGCTTGTATCGGTTTGCTGCAGGGAGCAGCAAACTAAAGGACAAATCATGAGGAAAAAAATAATATCAGACAAGGAGGTAAAAAGATGAGTGATTCCTTCGTAAAACATAGCTGTACTCTCATACAAAGGGCACCATATGAAACTTTTCCACTTGACTGGATATAGGATGGCAACTCAGCAGATGGATGTCCCCTCCTTCCTGATGCTGTACCTACAGCTGCCTTTCCAGCATCCCTTGCCTGCGCACTGTAAGCATCTG